TCTGGCTTGTTGGGGCCTGTTTGGCGTTTAGCAGTTCAGATCATTTCAGCAGCTGAAGCTGAAGTCTTCATCGGACATCGCATCAATGGTGGCAGGTGGGGAAGCTGCGCCGTTGGTCAAGGAATTGGCCCCGATTCTCCGCCGGGCGCTGGGGGCGGTGCGTGTCCCGCCTGGGGACCAAACAATCCTTGAGACCTGGCGGGAGCAAAGCGGTGGTTTTCAACGGCATTTTTGGACTTTTTGGACCGTCCGAATGTCGGCATACTCAACCAGACCCTTAGTCCGGTTGAGAAGAGATATTTTACATTATTTTACTAATATTGTTAAAGGGTTAAACCCTCAGCAAGGGACCTCTGAACCGCCAAGAGTGGATGGGGGAGTTTCTTCATCGTTCGCCGGTGCCACCCAGGACTCTCGTATTTCTGCCAGTGGCCCTAGGACCCTCCCGTATGGGCCAGGCCCTAGGAACCCTAGGACCCCACCAAAACCTTCTCTTCAGGCCACGGTGGCCTGACATGGGCAGGGTGCCGGCGCCGTAAGGAGCAAGTGCGAATGACAAGCGTGAACCGAATGACGCCAACAACCATGCGAGCCTGGCTCAAGGGCAATAGAACAACCAGCAATGACAAGCCGCAATGGCAACATCAATGGCAAAGACACAGTAGTAAGAGCGACCACTATCCCCATGACGCAGCTACCAACACACAATGAACACTTCGATGATGCGCCAATGATGAGGCACAATGGCAAGTGTATTTGATGACAAGACCAAAGGCAAAGATAGGCAAGGCAATGACTATATACAATATACAATGCCCGCGTAGTCAGGATGAAACTGCAACGGCAAGTGCATTGACAAACACCAATCCTGACAAGCCACAACGGCAAACATGAAAAGGACAAACAGCAACCATGACGACAACGACAAAACAACAAACAACCACGGCAACAGCAACAGCAACAACAACAACAACAACAGCACGAAAGGCAAGCCGTGGGAAGCTTCATACGACAACCGCAACACCTAGTAGCGATGGCCTCCAACCCTATAGCGATGGCCTCCACCCCTAGTAGCGATGGATTCTAGAAAAAACGCCGCACATTGCAGCAACTTCAAAGTCACGGCAACATCATTCCAGCAACAGCGAACGCAATGGCAAATGAAATACTGTAGGCGCGTGAGAACAGCTCGGTCGGTTTGGAAGGGTAGCTATTGATGCCAGAATTTTGTGTAAGTTCCCCAAAGTTGGGTCATCTATAAGAGAACTATTGAGAACAACCTCAAAGGGTGGCACGTCTTTCCCCAACAATTAGTGGCACTCTTTCTGTTGACTGGAGTCTTCCTATCCTAGAAGCCCACACATCCAAGGAGATCTTGGACTCTGCCGTTGATGCTGTGAGCCAGGGGCTGGATGAGGATGCACCCCGTGGTCCAAAGATCGAGCTTGTTCCCAACAAAACTGCACAGACCTCTCAGGCTGCCAGTGGGGAGCGTGACAGTGTACTGAAGGCGGGCATAGTCCTGACATCGTCTCTCTCGGATCTAATCACAATCCAAGTCCATGACCTACACCCTGGAAGATTAACATGGAACATCAAAACCACTTGCTTTTAAAGAAAAGAGCCTTTCAAAGAAAACAGCCTTTCAAAGGTCCATTTTCAGGTTCCATGTTAATCTTCCCGGGTGTAAAAGATTGGGGAACCTGCCTGCAGGACCCACTGTGTGTTGAACTCCGTTCTCCGTTACTAGGAGGCACCTCCGATCAGCAGGCGCCTTGTTTTCAACCAGCGAGGTCATGGTGGAGGAGTTGCGCGCCAAAGCCCGCGAGCATCGCTTTTTGCAGCAGGTGCGCCGGCTGCTGGCCGCTCGCAAGGAGGGCATCCACTTCTCTGCGTTGACCCAGCTCATCGGACCTGGCAAGGACCTGCAGAACTGAGGTGGCCAAAGCACCTGGAAACCCAAACAATTACGTACAAAAGGATGTTTCCACAAAGAACCACTTGTTATGTCAAGGATCTCAATTGCCCATGTTTATTTAAACAACCATTGGTTTCTGGTTGTTTGGGTTTCCCAGGTAGTAGTTTTAAAACATGATTGGATTTTGTGGGCCAACTCCCTTTAAAAAGACAATACGAACTTATATCGTTGGTCTATGATGCGGCACCTCCCTACGGGACAGGATTTTGGCGCGGTGTTTTGTATGAGAATCCATCCGACCAAACTTTCTTATATACATTCACTTTAGTCACTTTAGTCATGAGTCGCTTAAGTAGTAGCTAGCAAAACCGATAGGGCCAACCCTGTACCGATACCCTTTCTTGATTGAAAGTAGCTTTTTGCCTGCATTCCGAAAAGCTGGAAACCCACACGGGCCAACTGAAAATACTTCTTCGGCCTTGGGGACACCTAAGAAATTGGGTCCGTGGCGCATATAATTGACGGTTTTTCCGCGTGGCCCAACCCAGAGCCCATAGCGCTTCCAAGACTTGTGCGATCCACTTTCATGCTTGTTGAGGGCCGCTGTTGGCAGGACATCCCCCGGCCGCCTGAGTACGGTGGGTTGAAGTGGGGGTGGCTTCGCGCATTGCTGAAGCGGTGGCCGCAGCATTTCAACCTTCAAGGTCAAGAGAAGCTCGGCAGGTGAACATGGGCTGTGTGGCCTTGGGATTCCCAGCATGCTGCGACCAAATCCAAATGACCTTCGCAGGCCGGGTTCAGCATGCCTAAGGCCATCATCTATCAATGTGTGGTGGTTTTGGCATTGGGACTCCAGGTCCGGTGGGGACGGCTGCGGTTCAATGCAGATGGATGCCTAAAGGCCTAAACCGTCCACCTACGGCCATAAACCAAACGATCTCTTCAATCTCGGGCATTACCCGTCGAAAGCACCGGCGCAGACAGCCGCAGTGGTAGGATGTAGGGGGAGTGCCTGAGAGACCATCCATCTTATGTGTCCTACATAGTTATAGATCACCCACTCCAAATTGAATTCAATCAATCAGGGAAATCCAGGCAGACTACATGTTACCACTAGTGGCTGGCGACCAGTTCCAATGACCAAGGCCATAGACCGAACGAAACCGGGCCCTTGGTTCCTACCGTGGCTGCCTGAGATCCACTGGGTGCTGTCAGGTGGCCAGGGCCGGGCCTTGGTGTGTTGCACCAGGTGGTGCAGGACACGAAAGTGCACACGATATGACACCGAACAATACATTGATATGTGATATGACTGCATGTTTTTTGTGCCTTTAATTGTTGGACACCAGTATTTTAGTCAATTCGGGTGGTCGAAGGCCATTTTTTTTGCTGGCCCTGCTTGTCAAGCCAAGGAGCAATCCCAAGATTTGCCTAGCCAACCCTGAACCGGAATTCTGAGCCTGGCGGTGTGCACATCATTTTCGGGCCTGAATATCCGTTTCACCCGAATCGACCCGAATTCTAGCAGTGGGATTCGGCCCACTTGAGTCATAGTGCCGCAGGAGTGGTTCGAACAGATCACTTTTCCTGCGCTTGACTTTCTAGATGTCTTGAAGCAACAAGTTCGCGATCAATTATCCGTGGAAGAGTGGAAGATCGAGTGCGCGGCGATGATTCATGCGTTTTTCGAGCTGGATGAGAGCGGGAGGTTCTTCCTCGGTCGAGGTAATTCATGATGCTCACATGTTGCCTCTGATTTCGGCATGGGGATTTGGTGCATGTCATCACCTACATGGGATTTGGATATCGAAACCGCCGCTGCCTTAGCGAGGCCACCCCACCGCGCGCCGCCGCGTTCATCCGCCGCTGAAAGCTTTCGGCGCCTCGCTTTGCCGGCCTCGGACGGGCCAAGATGTCAAAAGGAGATGCGCCCGGCGGCGGAAGGCAGACCAAGGGAGGACGAGTCGGTGGTTCAAAGACTCCGTCAGCCACCTTCCTGGACCTGGTTGGGGCAGGGTCGGAGACCCAGATAACTGGTCAAGGGGTCGGTGGTTTGGAGCATGTGGGATTGCGCTCGCGGGGATCCGGCTACTGAAGTCAGCTTATGGGGCGTCCAAGTTCTCCTTTCAATTCAGTGCGTATGGCAGAGGTGGGGAGCGTTTGTCTTTGGGAATGTGACGATGAGATTCCAAGCCATTCCCAACCGCATCCCTCCACAAGCTCTTTGGAATCGCATGAGCTTGGGGAAGGTGTTGGGTTCGGAACCGTACAAAGCAATTTCCCATCCAAGACTACGACCCTCACTCTGATTTGGCCATGGTGCCTTGTTCAAACTCGATTTTTTTTTGAGGTGCGTGCTGGTCTTGACCAGCTTGGGACCTGATTGTGCCACCTATAGTGGTTGCTATAGATGTCTCCCATTCATTTTGCGCAGCTCCCTGTGAACGCCACGTGCTCGCAGCTTTACTTCTATACACGGGACGGAAGGTTTCCAGCAGAGACCATGAGACCAACTCAGCCAGTCTAAGGGGAATACCAAGTTGTGACACAAGAAGGCCTTGACAGCAACATCCACACATATCCACAGAGTCACAAGACAGGATCAAAGATCTGACAGAGACAGAGACATATCCTGAAGTCCCTAAAAATTGGGGAGCTCCTGCACCTCCATGGCTTGGGGCATCACACTCTGCAGTTGAAGGCCTTGACTAGCCCACCCACTGGAGCTCCTCCCCCGCACAGAAGGGGGTCCTGGGACCGTGGAACATAGGCCGTTGAGAGAGTAAGAAACCGCACGATTCATCCTGGAATGCAACGATCCCGAAGATGAACATGTATGAAATACCGACATGACCACCTTCCTATTGATATCTTATCGCTTTATGGACGGCCAGAAAAGGCCGTGAAGGTTCAGAACCTGAACTAGGGCCGCCAAGAACTTCCTTTACGAAAGATCGGGGCAATCTCAGGGATCTGAAGTAGCAGAGAACCTGAACTTCTTGAGGACGTCAAACATGGACATGCGACAGATTCGTTGACAGGGTGGTCCATCTTGCCCCTGTGGCCGCTTGCTATCACCCCAATGCCCGCGCTGCGCGGCTGGCGCGCGGCGCGCGCTCTGCGCGGCTGCCGCCTTGGCGTTGCGGGCCGCCCGGCGGGTGAGCATGCCTGTGGGCAGGCGCAGTGGGCAGCCTCAACGACTTGATACTTCCCTAGTGGAGAATGCGTCGATGCGGCATGTGGAAGGGCTAAAGCCATCTGCGCACTGAGTTCCCCTCCAGGTGCGACGATTTGCGCAGGCTGCAGGTGCAATGGTGCGGCCGATGATTTTTGACACTTGGCCAAGCTATGGGATTTGGAGCCGTTACCACGGGGTGTGTGAAGCTATGGGTTGGCCGGACTTCGAATGATCTTCGGGTGGCTGTCACGGCGCCTGAGGACATGGATGGAGTGCTGTACAAGAACTCGTCAGTTGAAGGCCAGATCGTTCCTTGGATCCGTCAAGAGGTGCAGAAACATGCAGAAACACACTCCGGCAGCTTGTCCAGGTGGCCAGGTGAGGTGGCCAGGTGGCCAGGTGAAGTCTTCTTTCTAACAGGTGGCCAGTGGCCAGGTGGCCTCTGTATGTGGGATGCTCCGCCCAGGTCCAGCAGTTGGAACGGCAAACGCGGAAGCGTGGGTACGAGGACAGTGTTGGTCGTTGTGTTTCTTGCAACTTGCAGCCTCTAGTCATCCTCAGAAGGAAGCAAACGACCCCCCCAAACCAACCCAAACACCTTCTCAGGAGGTAGTTAAACCTTCCTGCAATTAGGGTTCATTCCTTGTGGGCATCTAATGCAGGCAGTGGCCTTGTGTGTCTTTGATCCAAAAAGCTCCAGCGCCCAGAGCCTTTGGTCCACTTGCAGTTCTCTTGAAGAGTCTGTCAACAGTGGTGTGTGGGTGTTGCGGGTGCGGCATTCGATCACGAACCTGTTGGACATCTCATTCTTGTGCCGGCCATGTGGAGGAGACTCTGTGCCAAGAGCTCTATGAGTACTATGGTTCGACCATCGGAGGAGTCCAAGTGCTAGCTGGGGCAGGGGCATGGGCCCGTTGGGTATTTCTCAGTTGGGCGTGGAGCATGGCAATCGCATGCAATCGCTAAAGCTTGCTACAGCTTGTGTGGGTGTTAGACCGATCTTCTGCAGAGTCACGGGTTTGGGTCCAATTCGATCGGACGCCGGCAGCCGCAGGGCTTGTGGCAGAGAACCTTCTGAGCAACGACGAGGAGATCAGCAGCGCCTTGGAGCAGAGTTCTTGGAAGTCTTCCAATCTGCTGCTTCAAACCCCAAGCTCCAACCAGGGACCAAGCTCCAAGCAGTGGGGCGCCACCAGGTGACCAGGTGGCGCAGTGGAGCGAGAAGGTTTCTGAGCAGCGAGAAGGTGGAGCGAGAAGGTGGAGGTGTCCTCTACCAACTCAGTAGGTCAGGTATTTCGACTGGTCAGCAGTCACTGGCCACTGGCCGTTTCCGGGTGATGCGCCACGATTTCTGGAGAAGGAGGACGAAGCATCACCCGGCACGAAGCGGTCGTCACTGTCGCTCCTTGGAAGTGGCGATGGCAACAAACGGTCTCCTTTGCGGTCCGCAAAACCGTCTCAATGAGCTGGTCACCTGTGTATTAGGTGATGGTTTCGGATCTTTCTATTTTTAAGCCTTACTTGGGGATGATTGGACAACCTGACTATACATATACGTATTTTTCCAAGTGGGTTGAAACCACCAACCAGTTGTCCCTTCTTTGTTCTCAAGGAATGGCCACCGGCACGAAGGGCGCTGGTCCGGCCGGAAGCACGAACGCCACGCCACGCCACGCTCCTCGGGTCCGTCCGAGGCTTCTACCGCGACGTCTACGACGCGGTGGATGTGAGTGTTCCCTGGGCCGCAGAGAATCCAAACAACCCTTGGTCCCTTAAAAGCTACGGCCCTAGCCCTAGCCTTGCAAGATCATGGATGTTCGAATTCAAAGGTTTTGTAAAATCCTGAATAGGACAACGATCACGATCATTTTTGGGTCAAGGCTCATCAAAACTAATGGTGGTTGGAATCATTTTAGGGTAGAACTTGGTTCGACCCACTAAAACCTTTTCGGGTCGGATCCCTCCAGAGGATTCAGGGCCCTGACTCGCCGGATTCGGCGTCGTGTCCGGTGAGGCGATCAAGGCTGATCCACTCCTAGCCCGGCAGCTGAAGCAACTGAGGCTGGAGAAGAAAGCTGCGTCTTGGGGATGGAATGGGTGGTGATGGAGGCACACCTGACGTCCACGCATGTTCGTGTTAAGGATGTGCTTGTGTTATAAGGGATCTAAGGGGTGTCCATTCAACATCCTCTTTGTTGGTCCTGTGCACGTGCAACATTGCCGAATGTTCATCTCGAAAAGCACACATCAGTTTCACGCATGTTTGCAACCATTTGCCACCAATGCAGCAGCGGCTGGCACCAGGGACACCCCCTATAAAGGGGGTGGTTCATGGATCCACCCCTTCACCTCCCAACAAACCCGGGCTCTTCTTCGTCACCCCCCCGCTTCTCAGGGTACCGAACCCCCCCCCGCTCTCAGTCTGCGTGGATATCCGATCCGCGTGGTCTGCGGGCGGTTTCGGCGTGGTGCGATGCTTCGCTGTGGCAGGAAGGGCGGCCTGGAGCTGTGGCTCGCCACCAACTCCCCGGAGCACTTCGTGGAGCGAGTGCTGCAGGCCGCCACCTCGGCGGTTCGGCGGCGGTTCGGCGGCGGTTGCGGCGCGGTGCCGGTTTCGCGATCGCGGCGGGGGGGGGGGAGCGACGCGGCGGAAGGGAGCGGGGGTTCAGAAATTGGGGTTTGCACCCGGTGGATGGTGGATGGGGCTGGAGGAAGGTCAGGTGGCACCAGTGGCCCTCCAGTGCCCTTGGGAGGCCTTGGGGGTGCCTTCGAGTCATTTCAGCCGCCCAGCCAGCAGAAGTGGTGGAGAGCAGACTTCCATAATGAGGGGGTCAGGGTGGTTGGGACGTCCGTGGGAGTTGAGCAAAGATGCGGAAATCAATGAGGTTTAGTGAGTCAAGCATCTCTGAGGACTTTGTGGCCAGTTGTTCGAAAAGCAAGCATCATGAAACTATGAATCCCATTTTTTGCTGCGGCCAGAGGTTAAAAATATGGGCAGACACCAAGTCCAGGGGTTCCAGTACACCAAGTCCAAGGGTCTCAGTACACCAAGTCCAAGGGTTTCAGTCTTGTCCTCCTTGGGCGGAGCTGAAGAGGGCCTCCCCATGAAGAAGACATTTCCTTGTCCATCCCACGGCAAGCTGAAGAGGGTGAACTTGGCCCAGACGCTGCTAACATCAATTTCTCACACACAAAAGACTTTGACGTGAATGAACCGCCGTTTTCCAGCAAGGATATGCACTGTCAGCTGGTTTCAAGACGAATACTGATGCTCCAAACACCTGCAGATTTGGATGGAGCAAGTCCATGCAAGTCCAGCATCACCTGAGAGACGCCTAAGCATGGACTGATTATATTTCAACTGCTGGAGCCTGGAGAGGCTTTACATCCATGTTTGCAGGGGGTTTTATGAATCAAGAGTCGACATGGCTACATCAAGAATACCCCATCCACCGCCTCTTTTGGGACACGATGAGGCCAGATCGTCTACCCAGCGGCGGCGCATGGATGGGTGGACAAATCCTCGAGCAGGTGCGAATGATTCCACTGGCCCTTTGGCTTTCCCTAGGGGTCAGATGCCGACCACCATGGATTTAAGGGTCCTTACCTGTCCTTACCGAGCAACCATCGTTTTACCATCGTTTTCTTTAAAAGGAGTTTAGACCACGCCACGTCAAAGCTTTTTGTAAATGGTCTTGGAAGGCTAAGGTTTTGATGATCGAACAGGGCCGAAGAGGCCAGTTTCTGGCGGCGCGCCTTCGGGAATACCGGACTTTCCCTTCGGGATTGACCACCGGCGCGTCAAAGGGGAAGCTTCGGCCGGAGTATGGGACCTGAAGTGCAATGATCAGAGCCTCTGAGAGGAAGGTCGGGGAAGGTTGAGGGTTTCTCGAAATGGCGCGGTGGGTCACCTACTCCAATTGAGGTTGCTTATCAATTTTGCTTCGGGTGATTGGTTCTTACTCCGGGTGGATCCCCTAAACATGCGCAACATGTGCGATTTTTCGGGGAGAATCGTCTCCCCCTCCCGTTCAATCCAGGTACTTTGCGCGCCTGCCCTCCACTGGCTGCCTTTTCGACGACTCCCTGCGGAACTGCCGCGCCTTCCGCGTCGCCAAGGGCGACATGCGCGCCGCCCGTGCGCGGCATGTGGCCAGGGTGCGAGGGACGGGTGGCCAGGGTGGGCGGGAGAAGTGGCGTGGAGGCTCGGGCCTGATTTGCTAGGTGTGTGGTGACAGACGATTTGCATATACACGAGAGGAGACTCAACTCGGCGGCTCAAATCGGCTCCAAAATGGATTAAGATCGGAGCAGAACACCTGAACATCCCAGCATTCTTCATCCGTTTTCTTGGGGCGTTTTCTTCCTCAGCTGCTCACGACCTTCGCTTTCTGGGCCCTGTGAGGAGGTGGACGTGATGACTTTACTGGCGGACGAGCTGGAGGCCTGGCCTGCTGGAGACCCCTGGCCTGGCCCGCTGGGGCGCTGGGCCCGGAGAGAACTTGGGGGGAACTGAGCTGCAGGGAAATCGACTGTTCAAAACGGCAGAAGATCTCCAATCCAAGTGGACGACCTGGATGCACTGGGCGTGCAAACAGCTGCCAGCTCAGGTTTGGTGGACGTGAACCATGCTGCTAAGAACAGGTCACCACCTGCGACTTTTAAGTCTACCAAAGCCTCCAGAGGAGACCTGTTGGAGGGTCCAGGTAGGATTTGTCTTTTTCAATGTGTTTTTCGAGGTTCGATCATTCGCATTCGGCGAACTAAAGGCCTTGCCATGTGGACCGCGCAGAAGGCGGCCTTGACGTACGCATCATGTGCGCTTAGGACCGTTTAGGACCGTCTCTAGACCTGTATCCAAAGAGCAGGCACAGCTGCCATCATCGTGAGATGCTGCCGTCGTGAGATGATTTGAGCGACGGACACATCACCTGGAATTGGACGGCACCCCCTGGTTCGTCAAGGACGATCTATAGTGGAACCAAGGGACTCTAGTTCGCATATTTTCACACTTCCGTGTCCCAGACGCTCCATGCATGGAATATATAACCTACATTTTGGGGTCTGTCCTATTACTATTACCTGCAACAGTCAGTAAACAATTACTGTATATTACTGTACTATTTTTGAGCAAGGCCTGCAACCAGGCCCCATCATCATCCACTGGGCACAGGTATTAGGATAGACCCAACCTACATGGTAATTGACCCGACCTACATGGTAATTGACACCAAAGGTAGGTCAATAGACACGGAAGTGTTTGGGCGTTCGCGAGCCGGAGTTGCGGGGCCAACGTTCCTTTTCGCGCATTCGCTTGGCGCCCGGTCAGGTGGTGCCAAGCGAATGGCGATTGGGCAAAGCTCCCTACTTACAGGCGCGGTTCAGGGGAGGCGCAAAGCTACAATCAATGGATGTGGTTGTCCCTTCGTGCAGGGGATTCTTGGGAGGTCTCCCTGTTGAAATGCACACCCACGTACTAAAGATGTAGAAGCTCAACTCTTGGACAGATATATGTTCTCGGCCGGTTCATGGAACGCCTGTGACATGGTGGTTCTCCCACTGCTGAACCACCAACCAGGCAACCACTCACCACCAGCGACAACATCCCGTTTCTCGGACCCATCACAGTTTGAAGAGGTTCAATTGATCGTGATCAACGAGGGTCAGGGTGCGGGGACACACCTAAATCTTCCAACTGCAACATTACAGCAATTGGGCTGGTGTTGACGAAGAGGCCATGGAAAACCGCCGTTTTCCACCTCTAAGTTGGTCCCTTTTTCACACGGTTCAAGACCGCGCGGGCCGCGGGGGGGCCGTGTGAGGCCAAAGAGCTTGTGGACCTGAAGAGCCTTAACAAGGAGGTCCTCCAACGGTTGCGGCATGAGCTTGAACAGACCACAGGCTTGAGCAGACCGCCGCCGCCTGGGGACTGGTCAGTGGATTTGGGGCGTCGCAGTGTTGCAGTTCCAGACCAGTTAAGAGCAGTCAGTGGTGATCAGTTGGAACCTAAGGTTGGAACGATATTTCTTTGGGGTATGAAGTGGGGTAGCCAAGAACCTTCAGAAGCTGCAGGGTCAGTATAGAGCTGGAGCTCAATGCAGCGAATCTGGGAGAGGGGAGACTTTTGGGGTCCTTAAGTTCTTGAAGACCCAGGGGGGGCCCCTGGACTTGTGACTGGTTCTGAGGACTCCCTGGACTTGGAGGGTCAGAACCTGCGAACCAGTCGACGTTGAGCGGTTAGCAGGGATCGCCGGAACCCTAAGTCCAGGTGACATCTCAGTGCTGGACTTGGGCTGCGGCTACCTCTCCATGCTCCCACTCTTACAGAAGCTTCTGCCACCAGGCACGCTGCTCAGAACCGACCAGCGGCCCATGTTCTTTATTTAATGTAATGCAGACTCTTGATTCAGAGGACACCCCCAGACACAGAGTGTAAAACCTCTTCAGGCCAGGGGGATCTTGGGGGGTTTGGTGAGTTCAAGAGTCTACATGTCATGGTAGAATGGGTGTCCGAAGCTCAGCGCTCCGGTCCTCCCTCCGGCCCCCCCCCCAATCCACCCCCCCTCCAGGTGATCCCAGGTGTGCAGAAAACCCAGAGGCCGAGGCCGAGTTCGGTCACCGCACCGACGTCCTCATCATCCAGTTGGGTCCAGCTGGCGCTCCTGGCCTTACTACAAGAAGACCTGCACCATCATGCACCTATTGACAATCATTCCGCTCACATGGATCCTTCCTTTTTCACCTCATCTTGCCTGTCAATAACGATGGACCTGACTCGGGGGACAGGTTCTTTTGCCGCAAACCTGAGGGAAGTCAGCCTCCCGGAGCCCTGTGCGCTCTCCAAGGCCGGGCTCTGCGCTACACGGCGGTGGACCGCGACCCGGTGCTGCTGGCGGCCGCGGAGCCGCGCGCGGAGCGGGCGCGGGCGCCGGGCGTCGAGGCGCTGGGGGGCGGAGGCTGGGGGTCGAGGAGGAGTCCATCACCGTGGATTCAGAGGTTCGATGGCACCTGGACCCCTAAGTTGGGTCACACTACTTGTGGATCTCAACATCGAGCACCTCCAGCTAGTGGTTCATGAACCTGGCGTTTGCAGCTGGGCCACCCAAAAACCTTCACCCCACCAACTTGTACCCATCCAAGGGTTGATCGTTTCATGTTGTTTGCCGGCCTGCTGTACTCAGCACCCCTTCGGGGAACGTTCGCTCAAAACATGTTCCCCGAGCCTCTCAGGTGATCCTGCAGTGCCCTGAGCTTGCACAGAGCGGGATTGGGGGCGGTGGTGTATGTATGGGGGTTACGGGATTGGGGCATGTTGCGGGGGACTTGTAAGGACCAGATTGATCCAGTTTGGCGGGCCAAACACTGTTCCGGCGTTATGGCTTGAGCGTGTGAGGTGTTTACTGTGAAGGCGCTAGGGCCTCTGCAAACTTGACAATTGCATTGCATCCTTCTGGGCCATGCGCGCGTTTTGGGGGAATTGGTCCACAGTCCTGGCCGGCCAGCCGACCAGCGAGCCTGAGGTGCGCGGATGCCGTGCAAGCTGTGCGGGACGCCTCGCCTCAGACGCTGGCCGGGGCGGCGGGTGGCAGGAGAGCTCATCACAGGGCCCCAGCCAGTTGGTTAAGATGAAAATGAGCATTTTGCAGCCCGCAAAGCCCGAGTTTTGAGATGTTGACTTCCCTTTTTTGTCGGGTAGCCAGCGTGAGTCAGGCTGGTGCCTAGACATGGCTTCAGTCCATGGGACCTGAGGACAAGTAGGAGTTCGATTCTCCCTCGCCGGCGTTTTGTTTTTCTTTTGATTGTTTGATTGTTGCTTTTGTTCCTTTTATATGTTCTTCATCGGCATCACCTTCTTCTTTTTGTTTCTTCGTCGCCTTCTCAATTTTACTGCTTGCAATTTTTTTGCGCGCTTGCATTTCTTTTGTGGTTGATGAAGTTGATTGGTATACGGTATACGACTTCTTGGCGTGGCAGCTCCGCCGTTTTCTTTCTTTTGCTTGCTCTTCCCTTCCCCTCCTCCTCTTCTCTCCTTTGCTTCGGCAAGTGCGCTGCGGGACCAGCACGAAGTTGGAAAGTGCAAGAGGCAGCAGCAGAAGAGAAGGAAGAAAAACATATAATAGATAGAAAACCACCAGGACATACAAGGGGTGGTTAATGGACACCCCTTAACCTCTAAGGGGCTATCAATAGAAGCTCCTTAGGGGGTCCTGGCAGAAGACTGTGTAATCTAGGCTGTGTCATGCTATATCTTCGCTTTGGCCAGCTGGCAGATCGTGGGCTGCTCCATCTTGGACCTCATTGATGTGGAAGCCTTGGCGCAGGCCCTGCGGACCTACCAGGCTGGCAGATCGTAATGAAGTTGAACAACTATAGCTACGAACGTTTGGGCGCTTTGGGCAGATGCTGGCGCCCAGCTTGCCCATTTGGAAACAACGACGGCCTGCAACCGAACCAACATCATCCACTGGGCCCTTGGTAATGGGGTACGGGGATGCGCGCCTAAAGTGTAGCTTGATTTAGGTGCGCGCGGATGAGGCTGTCCAACATCGAATCCCAGTTCAGGCTGTCTCAGTGCAGTAGGGGATGCGAGAGGGTGTCCATGATCAATGATCCAGTCCCTCCACTGCTGGAACTCTGGAGGCGTGAGGGACACACCCCAAGCACCGCCTCCAACACATGCTGGCGCCAGCATTCCGCCGGCCTCCCCTCTTCGGCCTGCCCTGGGTCCTTGCGAGGCTGGCGCGCTGCTCTACTTCCCGATCCACTACTCGGGCACCACGGCGTTCGAGGGTTCCGCCGCGTCGGTGGCCGAGCCCCTCAGCCGCTGCTACGACGAGTCGCTCGAGACGCGGGGGCAGGTGAGGAGGGCAGGGTCCATCGCGACGCGTCGGGCCGGGAAAAACGGCTGGGACCTGGGTCCTGCGCAAGTGATGTTTTTATGGGACCTGGACGTGGACAAAGCATGAAGTTTTCAGGCCACATCAAGATCATCAAACCTCAGCAACTGCTCGGCAAAAACTGACCAGGTTGGAAGGTGAGTTCTCTGTCTTCGTGGACCTGCAGCATCTGAAGATAGTGACACTTCTTGTTGCAGGGAGCGCAAGATGTTCCTGCCTGTTCTCGCATGTTTTCGCCACTATATAACCCATGTTGTGCAACCCTGGTCTGCCACCATCTTCCAGGCCCAACACCCCCTCTCTTCTTTGGGGTCTTTATATGTCATTTATTCCTCGTCCCTTTATTCATCGAGGTCCAAAAATGAAGGCTCTTCCTTAACCCTAGGCCTCCCAGTCGTACCTTCTGAGGTTCGGTGATACTTTCGGTGTTTAGGGTGGGTCTGGAGGATACTTTCGGAGATTTTCGGAGGGACTGGAGGTACCGGAGGTACCGGTACCGCGAACGTCGCCCGTCAGCTGCGCGACGTGACGGCGCTCTACGCCTCCCTGGGCGTCTCCTTGCTGCAAGGCTCCGCTAGGGCGGACGAGCGCTGCTGAACGCGGTGGGGCATGGAAAAACCCCCAGGGTGGGGCGCAAAAGTCACATGGTGGGCTTAAGATGACTTGGCCAGTTCAGGCGGAACAGTCATAGTTTGGTGGATTTTCCCTCTTTGGGTAAGCATTGAGAATACCTCCGATGAGCCATGTTGCTGCTGTCCAAAACATCGCCCGCTTTCGCCAGGTTGCTCGGATTGGCAGCTGAAAGGCGATGACCCGCTGCTGAAGCAGCTGATCTCCTTCATGGCCGTGAATGCCTTGGGCCGCCTGATTGGCTTGCAAATCAGAGGTTTTGTTTTAACTATTTTCCAATATTTTCCCTATAGTAAGTTCCAAAGTCTTTGCTGGGGACCGTGGCCTAGACCCATAAAGACGGTAAGGTTGGCAATGGATAAAAACAGGAATACAAATGTCAAGACAGTGAAAATGTTCGAATTCGATTCCCGGTTCCTTAAGCCATCTTTTCGCCTTCTTCAGCCCAGGTTTTTGGGATGAAACCGAGTTCCCGCGCGTCCTGCGAGCCGAGGCTTTCAACCCTGGCAGGAGGTGGCCGAAGCCGTTGTAGCTCTCAAGTGCCACCGGCTGAAGAGGGAAGCTGGGCCACGCCTTGACCACTCTGAAAAGCCCTGCCATGGGATAGGACTTCAAGAGAGTTCATGGAGAGTTCATGCATAATGAATGCTCCCCAATACTTGAAAGAGCAGAGAGTGATGCCACAAATTGACGGAATCCATCATGCTTCACACCGTTGACAGGTCGTTTCAACAAATATACGTGCCAGCACGTGCGGGGTATAGATGTTGACACCACCATTGACACCTTGAGGCGACACGTGACCATTTTTGGACTTGTTGTCCGTCGACTGATGGTCGCAATGGTGCAGGACTTCTGGCATCAACAGCTTAGACACTCCAAGGGGCTGGTATAAATATGCATACTTGGAGTGGTTGTCAAGGGGTCAATGTAGGCACACGCACACATACCAGGACCAGGAAAAAGAGGTGTCTATAAATAGCCTCGTAGCGGTTAAGGGGTGTCCAAAAACCACCAGCTGGAAGGTCCTGGCACACACACACACATACTTATATATATATACATATATATATATACATATATACTGTATATATATATATATGTGTGTATCCTGTATAAGCTATCTATCTATCTATCTATCCTATCTATCTATCTATCTATGATACCAATACCATCCATGGGGCAGTGCTCCAGAGAGCCTTTGACTACCTGACCTCATCGACCGCCTCTCGACCACGGACCGGCCGCTGAGGGCTCCGAGCTCCGCCGCGCTGCGGCCAGAGGTGCAGCTCCACGTGACGAACGCCCTTGGAGCTGCACCGTTTGGGATGCGCGTTTTGGGTCGGCGCCAAGACCACCTGAGACCAAGTCTAAGACCAGTGGAGAAGCTGGAGAAGCTGTTCACCTGCAGCTTTTTCGGGGAGTGGGGAGGTTCCAAGCAAGAGCAGGGTCGAAAAGTGAACCTTTTATGTTCCAGGGAAGCTGAGGGGGTGCTTTTCTTTTCATCCGCATATTATTGTTCTTATTTTTTTTTGGGGGGGGTGGCGCACAAAAGATGTCAAGATAAACTTTGCCTTTCTCTGCCCCTTCCGGGAGCTGAACAGGCTCCTGAATCGTGATTCCAACGGATTCCAAAAAGCCAAAGCCAAACCTTTTGCACGAACATACCAAGACGAACAGCATGCTATAGTGTCTCCAAACATTGAAATTAAGAGATGTCCACCTCCTTTTCGGAACATCCGTCGTTCCCTCACGCCGTTTTCTTTTGAGGAACGAGGCCATTCCCACCCAGGTCCGTCCCGAAAAAGCGCGGAACTCCGTGCCTCGCCTTCGCCCAAGGTGGACTACCTCGGGCGCGTGCCACGCGGAGCGAGCAGAGGAGCGGCAGAGGAGCGGCGCGAGGTGAGTAGCCGCAGGGTCGCCATGAGTAGACGATCCCGGATGAACTCGAACTCCCAGATTTTCATGGGACTGCCATATATGCTGCTCCACTTGGACACTTTACTTTCCGTCAAAGTGGTGCTGCTGCTGGGAGTGGATGTGGAACTCCTTGCGATGGTCCGCAATATTTGTACCAGTTGATCCAAAAGAAGAAAAGACTCACGTTCTTTTTTTTCTCTCCCGCAGGTTGGACGATGCCCCAAGCTTGAGTCAACAAACCACATATAACCAATTATAATCACATGCAAGCTGTTGGGAAGAGTGATACAGAAGTGCTTTTGTTGAAAAAGGATGAACGTCCACTGTGGTGGCTGAGTCGGCTTGATGACATTCAAGAGTTGTTTGATTGAATTCTGCCCTTGTATGGCCCTAGACACCAATCTCAAGCATCCTCAAACCCCTCCGGGTTGCCCCCTGGATCTGGTTGCCCAAGACCTTTCTTGGATTCTCTTGAAGGGTGGAATCTCCCTTGGCCTCCCCAGATGTACACCGTGGGAAGATCAACATGGAACCTGGTTCAAAGGCCTTTCAAAGGCCATTATCCTTTACAAGCCGGGCATGGCTTTCAGGCCAGGTTCCATGTGGGACTCGGAACGAGGGGAGTACTCCCCCCTTCGGCCAGGTCTCTGAGCCTCCACTCAGCGTCCAGGCCTTGCATCCTCGTGCCCGCGGAGCTCCACGCGCCGTGGCGGTGGAGTTCGTGGCGCCCGGTGGGCCGGCGCGCTGCGTCGAGGGGCCGGTGGAGCTGCAGGAGGGCGAGGTCCTGGTGGAAGCGCGGCTCTCAGCGCGCCTGAGATGGGAGAACGCGGCGCGCGGTTCTCGAATTCCCGATGATGCGACCGTGTGCGAGGTATTTTGGGAGGTTCAGCGTGGGTGTGGGTCAAAAGCTGGAGCTTCAAGCTTCTTTGAGTTGAATATTCACGGAGATAGGAAGGCCCGCAGTCTTGTCCCGCAAACCTTGAAAAAGGATGTGCACTTAGTACGGGTAGTCCATTCTGTTCATTGTGATGGGTCACCCACAGTCATGCTGTGACCCTGTGAGCCCCGATCTGCGACCGATCCAAGGATCTCTGCTGGCACTGAGAGGAGGGGGACGCGACGGAGTCGGTCGTCACGGGAACCACGGGTTTTTGGGGCTTCCGGCTGGGTCTAGTCTATTCACTGTCAGCTTGAGGTCTCTTGCTGGGATCATTTTGGGAACATGTTCATCCACCCAAGGATCTGAGACCGCTCATGGCTGACTTGAAAGATTCACTCGTGACCCCCGACCCCCCATGGGGCAGGGTGCCATGGGCGGGGCCACTTCGGTTGGCCCCTATAGATGCCCCTAGTATAGGTAAATATTCCATACGTTACGTGGATTGGGGCATATATGTGATAAAGGGCCACCATTGATTTGAGGGTTCGAATCCCGACCAACCACCTGTTTGACTAAGATTTTAGACTACAAATCCGGGTCAACAAAACTTTGAAAATGATCTAGGAATGTTCGCGATAACTAGCTTATAACTTATAACACAGGGGTTGCCCCTAGAAGCTTGACACGCCACACCTTTCAGACCCCAAAATAATTATATAATCTTATATAATACCAATGCAATTACTGTATATCAGGACAGCGGGTGCCGTTCAACACATCTTTGTCATTCTTCCCACCCTGCAATCGCTTTTTTGTGTTGCATGACTTCCACTTAACAGCTTCCTACCCAGAACAAGTGGAGGACATGCAAAACCCTTTTTGGGGATTGTTTTCCCCACGGTCAGAGCTAGTGAGCCTCTTCTATCAAAAACACCCTACCCAGGAGTTCAGCCTGGATGACCTCTTTTGGGGCGATAAGTTCGCTCCACTCGCTGAGCCCTGCTTTTGTATGGATTCGGTCAAGTCTCCGCCGCCGCCTTGCGGGCCTGGTCTCCTTCTCGCGAGTCTGGTCTCCGGCTCGCGAGTCAGGTCTCCGGCTCGCGA